CTGGAGAAGCTCCACAGTGGGCTAAATACATGTTATTTCCTAGAGAAGTTGACAGTTGACACCCACACCCAGGCCTACTTAGTTAGAGTTGGGAAAGTGGCAAATGAAGTGATGAACTGTCTTCAGTCTCAGCACATCATATGAACCAGTGCCTAAACATCCTGGGATGCAAACACATCAATGGGAAGCTTAAGAGAGGCAGTCTTCAAGACAGACTGACTTAAAAGAACGTTTTCACAACGATGCTTAGCCATAGACTATGTTAAATGTAACATAAATCAATTGTAGAAACACACTATTTCGGAGATATGGAAACAATTGTCAGGCATGCTTTAGAGGAAAGTGAAAAAGCATCTGGGATAACATCTGTCTGCTTATTCAGGGTACGTTGTTTACAGAAACAATAAAGGAATATTCTTCTCTGCCTTCATCACTTTCTATGCTGGAGTGACCTTATGTGTTACCAACAGTTGTGCTGTTATTTTAGTAGAGAATATTTCAATGACTTGGCATCCATGGAGTTATTGTCCCAGGTTAGAGTCATGTCTAAAGAGGTGAAATGAGGTTGTTTCCCCACTTGAGGGCCAGTCAAGGGATAAGAAGAGTGTTAGTAGATATAGTGCTTATAAAGCTTTCACCTGCGTGAGCCAGGCTTCAATTAATGTTGCCTTTAAGGAACCCTGACTCAAACAGAAAGTCATCTCTCAAGCATTTGAGAGGGTCTGGTTTTAGACAATCCTATGAAAATCTCCTGTAGCACTTCAAAACTCAGAGATTCTCCTTCTTCTGTGAGGAATAAACTCTCTTAGCTTCTCTGTCCTGTATTTATACTCTTAGTCCCTAGATCACCTGTCCCCTCTGTTACAACCAATCTCATACCTACACATTCTGATCGATGTGTCAATGTTCTCTCTGACTATCCATTGTGTGTATTTTGCTCTTTCTCTCATTAAAGGGAAGGTACAAATGGGTGGAAGAAGGGGAGAGTTATGCTGTAAATTATCACATTCTAATACATTTGTTCCTTCAAATGAATATTGGAACTAGATCTTAAGCCTCCTGTAAAAAATAATATACCTTCTAGAACTCAAGTAAATGTGGGAAGAACTAGTGAGAATATTGCAGACAGGAAATGGCTTAGCCATTGCCAATGAACTCTCCTACATTTTTCAAAGCAAAGGAGAATCTTAAACTCAATACATTTGAGCTCTGAGTCACTATATGTCCCTATAGGCTCTATTTTCTACAAAGTGAAAGTTACTTTGTAAATTCCTTACTTTGCAGAAAGTAGTGTTATAGACTATATTTTCTACAAGTAAGAAAGGAGTTTAGGAAAATGGATATTTTATACCTGGCCTTTTCCCCCATTCACTCATCCACTCTACACAGATTTACTGAGAAGCTACCATATCCTAGGCTGATTAGAAACACACCATCCCTGTGATGGCAATGACCACTGACTTCACGCTTCATAAGGATTTATATCAATGTGTCCTAGACATTTGGTAGCAGAGGTATAGCTGTAGTCCAACCTCGACCAAGCTATGGTTTCCGAGAACCTTGTATGTTAAGTGCCTACAGGGCATGGTCATCGACACCGTAGATTCACATTATACGGGGAGCCACATTGTAGTTACTCAGGATTAATGCTGGAGCCTGGCTGGGTGAACTCCAGCATTGGGAGTGCTGCACTCACCTGGGTGGCCTGGGGAAAGACATGAACCTTTCTGATATTTTACACCCGTAAAATTAACTTGCGGTTAAAAGGAGCTCCAAGGTCTTTTTCAGCATTTACCTGTTATGATTCTCTAAGGTTTTTTCAGTTTCTGAGAAGTTATAATAGGTACTGGATCAATAAAACAGCTTTGAAACCTCAACTCAGATATTCTGTTGGCGGCAAGGAGCAACTTTAAATTACTTTCTTTTAGGTATATGAATTAAGTTTAGAAAAACGTGAAACTTTTACATTTGATAGGGTGAAAATCTGTATCCTATTTAAGAGAAGTATGAGGAAATTTTTGGTAATGAGAGAAGTCACAAGTATGAGTGATTCTTTAGAAACTTGTTCTGTGAGAATTAAGAGATTTCTTCCAGTGAAAGAACGAAGGAGACAGAGGGACTGTGACTGCATCTGCACATTGTGAGAGGTTTGCTAAAGGAGAGAAGGGCCAGTTTTTGTTGTCCCAGAGGGATGATGAAAGTGAGCCCCAAATAAACAGAGGTCACTGAAGGTGAATTGTTAGTTGTGTGTTCATATTTTACATAGTCAGCTAAAATTGTTGCTTTTGCTCTTATCCTACATTGAGAAGTTAGAATTCATGGTTTTAATTTTAATTGATTACGATCAGTTTTGGTGAACATTTATCGTTTTGTTCACTTCAGTTTGATCTGATGCAATTTCAGTGGCTTCATGGCTTACAGACATTCTAACCTCGTGTGACTCCTTTTAACCCCATTCCTGCAAATCTGCTGGAGGAAAAACTGTTAAGAACCTTCTTCCTCAAACAACAAACACAGTTGCTGAAGTGAGAGAGACATCCCTGATTAGCCGCTTTTCTCTGTTGGGGTTGAAATGTGCTTAATGCTCACACTTCTCACTCATCATCTCTCTGGAAAGGGGAAGTTTAGCAGAGCTATGATTTAGTGCCGTGGGTGCCAACTGCTGTTCATGACTGCCAGGTCACTGGAAGATTTTCTTCATTATGTTCTTAGTATTTTGTGACAACCTAAGAGCAGATTCTTTCAAAAGAAACGTGTATTCCTAGATGCTTTAGGGACTGAGAGATTCTTTTTACACAATGCTAAAGAGAAAGTCTCTCAATTCCAAAGGGCATTCATCCCCTTAATTCTCCTCTCCTTTTGGTTTTGTTTTCACCCAATAGTTAGAATAGTGCACCTTTCACAAGAATACACTCAAGTTTCAAGATCTGTACCTTCTTTAACTTATGCACATGTATGTTTATGGGGTCTGGTTGAAGAGAAGGGAGTCAGAGGGTTACTTGGATGACCAGAGGTTTTAGGAAATACAGTGTGTCTCAATCTCTCTGCAAGTTTTCACACCAAAGTGATTCACCAGGGGTAAGGAGTAAATTGCTGTTTCTACCTTCTAACTTGCAAATAAGCACCCAACATGACACTCTTCATGAGACTTAGGGTTGGTTTTGTTGACATGATCTATCCATTAGTTAAAAATACATTTTAAACACTGTCTTTACCCATCGTGTGGCTTTTAGAATTAGGACTAGCAAATTACTGTGGGTTTTTTAACATGGGGCAAAACTGAAATGATTATCTTCATTAAAACCAAGCTGTTCTTTTCTGTTAAAGAAGGGCTAAGGAGGGGTACAGTAGAGATGGTCTTATACTTTCATTGATTGAAAAACAACAAACAAAGGTAGAGACAAGAACAGATAATGGAGTTTTGCTCTTCCCCATCCCCTTAATCCACATAAATGAGCATCAGGAGAAGTTGTGTTTCTTAACAGAACTCCTAATCTTGCTTTTCTCCTAGGGCGCTTGTGCGAATCCTCCAGCTCCTCGTTCAAGTCCCTGTTTCCCGCAATCCTCTTCTCCTTGATTTGTTTCACAAATAGGAACGAGACATATGTTTTCTGATCATGAAAAGGATATCATTTTGTAACGTTGACAATAGTAGACATCTAAAATGCATGTTTCTGTAGGAACAGCAGACCCTCAAAATCAGCAGAGCGCCCTTCTTGGGTCTCTAGTGAAAGGGGCAGCTTTTCATCCTATCTTTTCTGAGAAACGTTAAGAAGTCCTCCCAAGCCTGCCGCAATGGTGTTGGTTGGGTACCGCCGTGGACTTGATCAAGAGGCAGCCATATAATGGCAAAAAGAGGAGACTCATGTGAAGTCTCCACATCCTATGCAGAAGGGGAGATTTTGGGGCAACTACATGAAACTTCAACACTGACTTTTCTAAAAACTTAATTAGAGCAGTGTCATCTTGCGTGATGTGTACCCTATTTAGAAAGGATAGCTTTGCGCCTAGGAAAGTTAGGTCATGAGCAATATAAGATGATCTCACTCACTTATTTAGGGGGTTTAACTTGATGAGACATAGGGAAGGCAGTTCCTGTTAAATAGTCCATAGCTGGTCAAGTGGATTAATTGCCAGAGAAAGCAGAAGCAAACCCTTGGAGAACCCTTTCATCCTGAAACTTAGGAATAACTGGAAGGTCATTTAAACTGGGAGCATTTCCCCCTCCACCCCAGGAAAAGATAACTTCCCTCAAGGGGATCTGGTGAATGAAGCAGTGTATTTTCATCCTGGTGATAATGGGTGTGAGTCAGGCACTACCATAAAAGAATTAACTTGAATGTGGCACACACTTGGTTTGGCCTTGTCCCATTCCTGTACTCTTGTCATGGTTGATTACCTGCTTACATCAGATAGAAAGCAAGCAGTCTGCATCGTGGCATGAGATAAAAGGTGTGCTAATATGCTCAGGTCATGTATTATCTTGGCCAATAGTAATTTTATACCATTTGCTTAAAGGAAACTGTATTCCTTACAATAATTTTTTCCAATGAAGACAGATTTAACATGACTGAAACTTTACATATTACACTTGCATTTGAAGAGTTGAATCCTCTCTATTTCAAACAGAACTTTTAAATATTTTTATTACTTTTGACAGGCAAAAGATAAGGAGAAATGGTTTGGAAGACCTAAGTAAAATTTCTAATGAGTCTTGTTTCTTTAATATGGGAGAATTTTACACAGCTTCGATGAGTTTTTTTCTTTCCACATGAGATAATATAAATAAACTAAAAACAAAAAAACAGAAAGTGAAACATTTCTCTTCTTACTTTAAGAACCTTAAGGGCATGCCGGTAATCGCAGCACTTTGGGAGGCCAAGGCGGGTGGATCACGAAATCAGGAGTTCGAGACCAGCCTGGCCAAGATGTTGAAACCCTGTCTCCACTAAAAAAAAAAAAAAAAAAAAAAAAAAAAAAAAAAAAAAAATTAGCTGGGCGCAGTGTCATGTGCCTGTAATCCCAGCTACTCAGGAGGTTGAGGCAGGAGAATCGCTTGAACCTGGGAGGCGGAGGTTATAGTGAGTAGAGATTTCGCCATTGCACTCCAGCCTGGGTGACAGAGTGAGATTACATCTCAAAAAAAAAAAAAAGAACCTTAAGGGCTAAAAGAGTGGTTTGGTATCCTTACTGGCAGTTTTGGTTTGCCTTCTCTAAGTGGTCTTGTGCAATTCCCCAGAGAAAACATTTGAGGAGGGTTTTTCTCCCACATGAGAGAGTTTCATCCCACACAACCCACAGAATTTGACGGCAAACTTCACGGACCAAGTGTCTGGTTTTATATAAGTGGCTGTGGAGTATGTTTTTCTTTCACAGGTGCACATTTATTCTACCTTAGGAATAAGAAGAGATCATTTTATTTTAAAGAGGGTAGCTTAAACACTGAATATCTCTGAGAATTGGATGCCAATCAGGTAGGCTTTTATTTACTAAATGAGGGGGAAAAGGGTGGAAAAAAGGATTAAAACTTCCAAAGCCTTTCTAGCTGATCTTTGTTTACAACCATCTGGTGTGCACAGAAGTATTGTATAATCTGGCCTGTATTTTTCTCTTACTGTGAAACATATTGAAACGCTTTATGTTTAGGTGTGTGTGTAGAAATTCATGAAGCTCTTTTATACACTTTCTTAGTTCCATCGCAATTCTCATTTTAGGATGTTGTGAGAAGATAGCCTGGTGAGAGAGCATATTCTAAACGTGCCTTGCAAATTTGGATTTGTTCTTTCCTATCTACCAGCCACCTGATGACTCCCTGTGCAAAGGGCACCGGTTCACATCATTTTTTCCAAGTGCTAAAACCTGGAAAGATATTTTTTAAAGGACTCACAGAAGCTGTCTTGGGGGTTTGGAAAACATCACAAAATTGTTAGCAGACCTTTTGGCTGTGCTATTTTTAGGAAGTTAACTGTGTTCTTTTAAAGTCAATTTTTGACAATGGGACAACGTTTTCCTTGCCCCCACTGATGTGTGAAATATCTACAATGAAAAACCTCAGTAGAACATTCCCAAACAGATACATTTTAACCTCAGCAACCATCAGCAACAGGATAAAAAGTGATTTAAAAAGAGAAAGGTTTTCGCAATATTTATGCTGCTGTATCTTCCCCGAAGGAGCTTTTATTTTACCATTCAAACGGAAGTTTGTTTTCAAACCAGTCGCTAAAGGAGCAGCGGCAAGAATCAGCTCTAAGCCAACAGCAAGCGCGCGGGCAAAAGTGGCCGGTTCCCGCAGCCGCCGCGTGGGTCGGCCGCCCGCAGAAGCGCCGTCTTACCTTGAGCGCGCAGGACTGGGAGAGGCTCACGGGCTCCCACGGAGAGGGCCGGGAAGGCTGCGTGCGATCCGCCGCAGGCGACACGCGCTCGGCTTTTATGGGCAGGTGGGAGGAGCCGCCCCTCATGGTAGGTGGGCAGGGAGAGGCGGGCGGGCAGCCTCGGGAGGCGCTGGACTCTCTTCTCCGGGGGGCGGGAGGGCAGTGCGGGAGCCCGCGAGGGGGAGGGGAGGCCACGGGGCAGCGCGGGGCGGTCACGACGGAGGAAGGAGTGGAAACGGAGGAGAGAGGGAGAAAGGAAAAAAGAGAGAGAGGGACCTAGACCACAGAGAGGGAAAGGGGGGAGACAAGGAATAGCAGAGACAGAGAGAGACAGACACAGAGACAGAGAGACAGAGACAGACAGAGAGGGACAGAGACAGAGAGAGACAGACAGACAGAGAGGAAGGACCTGGAAGGAAAGGGGATGGGAGTATTTTCCGTTTTTGCGTGGCAGTTTTTGGCAGGGGAATGGAGGGTGACTGTGGCTTCTGCAGGGTGTTTTCTGTGCATTTGGGAATTTGGAAAGCTGCACAGCGGTCGGGAGAAATGAAGAGCTCCTGAGCCAGGCAAGGGAGGGGAAGCCTGGCGTCCGAGCACGCAGCAGAGCCACAGGGCAGGGCAGGCGGGACCCGGCCCCAGGCAGCCCCCGGCCCGGCCTGTCCCGCCGCCCGCAGGGGAAACTCAGCCCGTCCCTCTCCCGGCACACAAGGCTTATTGGACGAGAAATCTGCGCTGCCTGTCCTGTGAGCGTCCAGAGGCCCCTCTTGAGACTTCGGCAGCATTGAAGTAAATCCAGCGACCTTGGGGAGGATCCGTGGACTTGCTGGGGGAGAGAGGAACCTCAGAAGCAGCCTAGGTCTTCCAGCATCTGCTTATGTAACAGGATTTCAGAGCTCTCTGCTGTCTGGTTATTTTCAGTATTTAAAACACTCCCATTCCTAACAACCTGAAAACGTCTTGGTGCCACAGTTCTTATCAGTGTGTCTTAAACATTAAGAGAGGATTCAACCAACAAGTGGCTAAAGGATCAGTCTGAAATTACTAAGAAATGCATTCAGAGAAAGAAAAACAAGCTCCTTTCACTGCGGAGTGGTGACTCACTTCCTAGCCCAAGCTTGATTTTTGCCACCAAAGGAATTAAAGCATTTTAAAAGAGAACCTGAGACTTGGGTTGGGAAATACGGTACCGGGAGGGAGGAAAGCGGGGGAATGGGAGCGGGGGAGGGATGGGCAGCCTAGAAGAAATGAAAAAATGAACTTGTACTGAATATGTGTATATGTACTGGATTCAGTGTTCACCACAACCTTATGAGGTAGCTATGATTGATATTGAGCAGATTTTTTTTTCTTAAGTTTGGAGAAAGGCATCTATCTCTAAGGGTTTAGACAACGATCTCAAGCTAGCGAGAGGGAGAGCCACAGCTAGCGAGCTTGCAACCCTTAGGCACTCTTCAGTACAGCAGGCTGCCATATAGAACACCTGGGTTGGTCTCAGGTTAGATCCTGATGTCTTTGGCTGGTACCAGGTTCCAAGAGAAGGAAACATGATGTTGAAAAGCAGAATTCCTCAATCTCAGCACTACTGACATTTTCGGGAGGATACTCGTCTGTTGCAGGGACCTCTCCTGTGCATTGTAGAAGGTTATGCAGTATTCCTGGCCTCTACCCACCAGATGCCAGCAGCAGTACCCACTCCGGACTCCCCACCCAGCTGTGAAAATAAAAAATGTCCCTAGACATAGCCACATGTCCCTAAGGGGCAAAATCCCCTCTCCTCTTCTAAAGAACTATTGATCTAGAAAAGGTTCCACAACTGTGAAAAAGGATTTTAAAAGAATCTATTAAGAAAATCCCCAGTAGTGCCATTTGGCTAATAATAATACTTACGACCATATGTGCTGCGTTTACACTGGACTTACTTTTTTACATACGTATTTCCATCTGTTAGCTTCAAGAGCTCAAAGCCTCAATTGCTTCCTTTGTAACTAGGCTCATTCTCAATTGGTTACTCCTGGGAGTCAACGAAGTAAACTCCCATGTGCCTGGGATATGAAGAAAGATCAATCATATATGAAATAAAAAATTCAAGATTTTTTATCATAAACACAAATTTGACAGAGTTTTTAAATTTACTCACTATGTTTTGCATTACTGATTATTTGCCTTAATTTTTGTAATTTTTTATCTCTGTGTTCCCTATTCAAATTATATTCAATATTATTTTTGGCTGCACAAAGTGATAACTAGTGGTTTACTAGCTAGCAGAAAATAAGTGCTCAATAAATATGTATAGTCTGCGTAATATTGAGCACTGACAATAGAGAACGGTCAGCATTGGTGAGTTTAATGAATGCTTAGAAAGCTAAAACGTTCACATCAGGTTTTCTGCCCATTTGCTATTTAGTTTTACTCTTTTCTTACCCTCCAAATGGAAAGGAAAACTCCATACTCAGTTTTCCTTTTCCCAAAACGTATGTCTTTGGAGGATGTGGCCAAATCTACTGAGTGAAGTCTGTCAAACGAATCTTGTTACTCGACCTAGAAAGAGGACTGCGTTGTCTAGTCTTAGACCTACCCCTGAAATCAGATGTGATTTTACACGCATGATACCACTTTTGGAACTTTTTAATTTAGCAAAGAAATGTGTTCTGGGTAAATAAAATGGGACTCTGTTAGAAGAGAATCTGGGTGATAAAGCATGATAGTCAATACCTTTATCAGATTAGAACAAACCATCTTTTCAATCCTAAATTAATGCCTCTCAAACATTCCAGTTCCATCACATATGTGTGAAAAAAAGAAAAGGAAAAGGCAAGAAAAGCATATTTGAAGAAAAGACAATGGATGGCTGTAGGCTGTCTTTCTTGTGTTTTCTCCTTTCCTCCTTTCAAACCTGAATATCCAGCCAACAGAACAAAAGCGCTGCTTTCATTTTGTTCGGATGGTGCTAATGATTAGTTCCTTTCTCCAGTTCACACTTGCCTGAGTCTGATTCAGGAGCGGACCTGGACAACAACTTGGGAATCCAGGAATGTGATCTCTTTGCTGACGCTGAGTATGCCCTTCCTAGAATCTCTCTGAAGGTGACTTAGGTTTGAAATGACCTAGTTTGGTCTTGTGTGGAAAGAATGGAATCCAATGACAACATGCTAGATGTTCTGAAGTTTCCATTGTGTGCCTGTAACAGCCACAGATCATTACCTTACTTCTGACAGCTTTGCACATGTAATCCTTTCTTGGAGTTTATTTAGAATTAATCAGTTAACAAATATTTATTAAGAGTGGATATCAGAGAGTGTGAGGTATTCAAAGCAGAGGAAAATATGACCTCTGTTCTCGCAGAGGAAGAAAAGCTTGAAATTCAGATAGCTGAATTTTAGTAAAGAAACTTCAGAGGGAGGTGGCATTTGGGCTGAGCCATGGAAAGTAGCATTTGAATAGATGAGTGATGGACAGAAGTACATTCCAGGTGAGCGAGGGAATGTGTGCACCCAGGGAAGTCCCGGGAATATTATTCAGAAGGTGGTGAAGTGGCCAGCATGACTGAACACATGGGTCCATGCAGTGGAACGATGAGGCTGAGAAACGGAGAGGAGGGATGAGGTCAGTTGTGGAAGGTCTTAAATGTCACCTCAGTAGTCTGAAGTGCATTCTGTAGGCAACACAAAATCAACGAAGACTTTTGAGTAGTAGAATGGCATGGTGAAAAATGGCATATTTTCAGGATTTCATTTTTCTTTGAATATAGGGTCTTTATTGTAGCTTTGCAGAAGAATGCTTGCCTGAACATCTTGGGTTGTTACCATACTTAGCAATACAGAAAACAGAGTCTCTGTGTCCTGCAGATTTGGAGGCCTGAGCAAGGTGGCAGCAACAGTAGTGGTTCTAGCCCAGTTTCCCCGGAGTGCCCATGTGGTTTTAGGAAGCCGGTAGGAAGGCAGGACTCCTCACAGTGTGGCCAGGATGTCATATGGGATTCACATGAAGGGTGGTGTCTTCTCTGCGTGTCTGAGGAGCCCAGTCTCTTCCTCGCCTCCTGTAGCTTTGTATTATTCCTAAATAACATGCCTGATGCATGAGATCCTTGAGTTTTTAAGGATTCCTGGAGTGGGAAACAATGGGATCTGGCTTTTAAAACCGCACATTCACGTCTATGTTCTCAACAGCTAACTTTCAATTATTTTTTTTGTGTGTTGTCCTTGCCAGATTTCAAGCTTTCATTCTTCCTTTCACTCCTTAGAGCTTGAAAATGCAAATGAATGTGGCTTTTGGCCTAAGCAAAAGTCACAGACAGGTGTGCTCACTTGAAACAAATCTGCCAATTTGAAATATGGTGTACTGAAATTTGCTCTCCCTCAAATGACTCATCAGTCAGTTTTAGCCCGTGCTAAGCATGACCAAATATGATGGCAGTCTCTAAGGCGCTTAAAATTGCCAACCCTCCTATGGCATTTAAAATGGGGTTTTATTTACAAAAATGGAAAACGCTTTATAGCGCAGAAGAAAGGCACACCTCTTACACATTCCAAAGGACTGTTGGATTTTGTGAGTCACTGTTTTCCTGTTGGCCCATGGGGTAGAGCTGACTGATGGGGGTGATCCCACGGATGACTGCCTCACAGCTCCCGCTGGCTTGGTAAAGAGCACTGCATGGGGAGTCAGGAAATCTGGAATTTAGTCCAAGCTCTGCCACTGACTACCTACGTGAAAACTTGGAGTGAAAACTTGGGGCAGGTGTTTTATCTTTTTGGATTCAGTGTCTGCATTTGCAAATGTGTTTGCATTTGTAAGACAAGGAAGCTTAACCAGACCCTCTCTAAGGCTCTTTCCACTTTCCAGATGCCTGCTCTGTGCCAGTTGGTGGGCACTCCACCTACTCAACATCCCCATGAAGTCAACCCAACATACAATGATATACATGCTCAATTTAGGCACGTGTATTCAGATTCTCCAGATTAACAGCACCAGTAGGAGGTGCACACACACACACACACACACACACACACATACACACACCCCACATACATAATATAAAAAACTCATGTATATATATGAGTTTATTAGGGATAACTGAATTGCATGAATACAAGGCAAAGTCCCACCATAGGCCACCTGCAAGCTGGGGAAAGAGAGAAGCTGGTAGTGGCTGAAGCCTCAAAACCAGGGATACTGACAGTGCAGCCCTCAGCCTGAGGCCAAAGGCCTGAGAGCCCATGGGGGCTGCTGCTGTGAGTCCCAGAGTCCAAAGGCTGAAGAACCTGGAGTCTGATGTCCAAGGACAGGAGGAGGAGAAGCTGAGCTTCCAGCACCGCACAGGAAGAGAGAGAGAACAATCTGACTCAGAAAGCAGCTTCTTCCGCCTGCTTTGTTCTAGCTGCCCTGGCAGCTGCTTGGATGGTGCCCACTTACACTGAGGATGTCTCTTCCTCTCCCAGTCCACTGACTCAAATGTCTGTCTCCTCTGGCAACGCCCTCACAGACCCACCCAGAAGCAATGCTTCATCTGCCATCTAGGTATTCCTCAAGCCAGTCAGGTTGATGCCTGACGTTAACCATCACGACATGGAAATAAGAGCTCACAATTCATTACTCCAGTGTTTGCTACAGGGAGTGCACACCGTAATATTAAACCTTATTTGTACCCTAGGTACAGAATCCCAAAGGGTGGGGCAGACCACTGTTCCTCAAGTAGCTCTTGACTGCATCCATTGCCTCTCTAAGTTTCAGGACTTGCTAAGCACCTCCTAGACCAGCCATCTACCTTTTAACGCTATTCTTCTGAAGCAAATAGTATTGTCCTTTTGATTGATGGAAATGTAACCACATCACACAGTTCTCTGGTTTCTGAACATTTTCCCTATCATGCCAGATTCACTTGATGTCTGAATACATTAGGTCGATTTCCTAAGAAGCTCTCAACTTCCACTGTACACTGTTTCCTCTCCCCAGTGCTGCACCCCTTCATTTAAGTAGGAAAAATTGGTCACCCTTTTTTGCTATAGACAAAATTATTGTAGCTCTTTCTCATTTTCCAAGCTATTAGTCTTTTATTGAAGTCTCTGAACCCTTTTTCCAGCTTTCGCTCTCCCTATTATGTCAACGAAAGTCACTTCAACCTTTTTTCTATTCCTTAAGAAATTTAATTGTTGAGATTATCTCATGGGGGCCAAGTAATGGAGGGAGACCAATGTAGCCCAGGTATTTTTTTTTCCTACTCGAGGGTAGAAAACTAAAAAGCCTTCCAGGGCAGTAGAGAAACAGAATTCGTGCCCACTGTGTGCTCTCTTAGACCCTAGCTACCACATGGGAATTGTCTTGATCCTAGACTTTCCTGATGAATGTTTCCTTATCTCTGCTTTATCTTCTATCTTCTGTTCCTTCTACTCAAGGGATTTAGTCTCTTATGTACTTATTAATATTTACCTCATATTCAGTGTTAATAAATCCAATATTTTCTGCTCGCAGTTATATCTTACACAACCTAAGATTTTTCATGATTTGAAAACTCTGATTTGAAAGGCAAAAATGATGATCTGAGATGAGAGATCTAGCAGGTTGTGCTGGCCTGAGACTGGCAAGTCCTATTCCCAAGTCACCTCCCGTGTTGCCTCCAGAGCAGTCACCGTAAACCCAGCAATGATCATGTGATACCCGCGTTCAGGCGTTGTTGATGGCATCACTCATTCACAGAAAAACCTAAATCTGTGTTTGGCGTTCAAGGCCCCTTTGCAAGGTTCAGGCCCAGTTTTTACTTCTGGTCTGATTTACATTCTTTATGCTTCAGTCAGGGGAAATAATCTGCCTTTCAAAATATTTGTTCTACTTCTCGGCTTCTGCGTGGTGGCTGATGGAATGCCTGCTGCTGGGGCCTGCGGACACATGCTCAAATCCTTTATTACCTCCATGACACCTTCAAGAAATGCTTGCTGGCTAGTTTTCTGAACCGCCTAGGAAAATTGGTACTTCTCTATGCAATAGTTTTGCAGTCCACCTCGTCTTATACATATGCTAACCTCTTCTTTTCAACTTTACTGCCCTTTCCTTGAAAGCCTAGCCCTCTTCCCTGACACCAAGCCTAGCATAGAGTAAGGAGGTCGATATTAACTGTGGGTTGTGGAGATTAAAAAATAAATAATTAAATAGTCTCTTACCTTTCTCTGTTCCCAGCCCACTTTACCTCATTTGGCTCAAAACAAAACAAAAACAAACATTTAGAGTTTCCTAGTCCATTTCTTGCAGGATCATAGAAATGAGTTCTGAAGATCAATATGGCTTGCTTCCCACTTTTGAGGATTTTAAATAGTCTTACAGGGGAGGGAGGAAGACAAATAGATAATTTCCCTTCACCGAGGTCAGTTCTACGGGAACAGTAAGTACAGGGCTCTATAGGAGATCTGATGGAGCCCGCTCATGGGAGGGAGCTTTGAGGTGGTTACTCAGAATGCCAGGTATGAGAAAACATCTTTAAGTAACACACAGAAAAGAAAAGCTTGGTTCATCTCTGTGCTTTTTGGGATAAAAAGACAATGATATGCTTTATATATTTTGGTTGAAGATCGGGAGGTTCTGGCTGCATGTTGGCCAGGAAACTAACTCTTTCTGCCAGGTGAGTCAGTCGAGGTGGGAGGGTTATTTGAACAGATGTGTTTCAACATTGCTTTGAAATATAAAGGGTCAGAATATACTCTTCTGTAAATACCACTGCACACTAAGAGTCTTGCCTGACTGACTGAACAAAAATCACACCTAATGCTAAATGCACTTGGGAACTGGAATACTTAATTTTGGGCCCTCTGTGATGGCTTGACACTCTCATGGTGTCTAATTCCCATCTATTTCCTTTAAGATAAATAATCTTCTAAGATATCCTCAGAGTCTCTGTGACATTGACGGGGGCAATTTAGAGCTCCATAGACCTTGGCTTCTGTATTATTTATGAATTGATTCCCTAAATGTGGACATATAATGGTTGGCCCTTGTCATTTCTGCTTAGAACCACCATATGGTTTTGTGAGCGCACTGAGCTTGCCAGTACCAGATCTCTCCATTTCTGGCAGCCTGTTTGTTTTCCTAGAAGGAAAGTCAGACTCTTGGAGTTTCATTTTATGCATAAGGAAATAGGTAAGTCCCTTTGCCAGAACATCACAGCCATTGCACGTGACTAAATGAACTTCAGATCACTAGGTAAAGGAGTGGGAAGAGACATGACCTGTTAAGCAACGAGACTTAAATTCTTGTGCAAAAAAAGTGGTCAGATCTCATGAAGCTCCGTAAGTTGTAACTCATAGTTTTGGCCTTCTTGGATTTCATAGAAGGAATTTGTGTCATTCTGTCTTGGTCTCGTTTCTTCTGTTTTCTAATTTCCTTATTCTCTCACATTTTTTATTTATCCTTTCCGCATTTTGCATTCTGTCTGGAACACTTCATTTTTTATTAGACTTTCTGTGCTGTATTTATTATCGTAGCATAGAGAGTTTTTGTTTGTTTGTTTAGACAGGGTCTCACTCTATCACCTAGGCTGTAGTGCACTGGCACAATCTAGTCTTACTGTGACCTCCACCTCCAGGGCTCAGGCAATCCTCACATCTCAGCCTCCCAAGTTGCTGGGACCACAGACATGTGCCACCACACCCAGCTAATTTTATTTTATTTTTTTGTCTTTTTTTTTTTTTTTTAATTTTTTATTTGATTATAGGTTTTGGGGTACATGAGCAGAGCATGCGAGACAGTTGCGTAGGTACACACATGGCAGTGTGCTTTGCTTTTCTTCTCCCCTTCACCCACATTTGGCATTTCTCCCCAGGCTATCCCTCCCCACCTCCCCCTCCCACTGGCCCTCCCCTTTTCCCCCCAATAGACCCCAGTGTTTAGTACTCCCCTTTCTGTGTCCATGTGTTCTCATTTTTCATCACCCACCTATGAGTGAGAATATGCGGTGTTTCATTTTCTGTTCTTGTGTCAGTTTGCTGAGGATGATGTTCTCCAGATTCATCCATGTCCCTACAAACGACACGAACTCATCATTTCTGATTGCTGCATAATATTCCATGGTGTATATGTGCCACATTTTTCCAATCCAGTCTATTATCAATGGGCATTTGGGTTGATTCCAGGTCTTTGCTATTGTAAACAGTGCTGCAATGAACATTCGTGTACATGTGTCCTTATAGTAGAACGATTTATAGTCTTTTGGATATATACCCAGTAATGGGATTGCTGGGTGAAATGGAATTTCTATTTCTAAGGCCTTGAGGAATCGCCACACTGTCTTCCACAATGGTTGAACTAATTTACACTCCCACCAACAGTGTAAAAGTGTTCCTTTTTCTGCACATCCTCTCCAGCATCTGTTGTCTCCAGATTTTTTAATGATCGCCATTCTAAGTGGCGTGAGATGGTATCTCAATGTGGTTTTGATTTGCATCTCTCTGATGACCAGTGACGATGAGCATTTTTTCATATGATTGTTGGCCTCATATATGTCTTCTTTCGTAAAGTATCTGTTCATATCCTTTGCCCACTTTTGAATGGGCTTGTTTGTTTTTTTCCTGTAAATCTGCTTGAGTTCTTTGTAAATTCTGGATATCAGGCCTTTGTCAGATGGGTAGACTGCGAAAATTTTTTCCCATTCTATTGGTTGCCGATCCACTCTAGTGACTGTTTCTTTTGCCGTGCAGAAGCTGTGGAGTTTCATTAGGTCCCATTTGTCTATTTTGGCTTTTGTTGCCAATGCTTTTGGTGTTTTGTTCATGAAGTCCTTGCCTACTCCTATGTCCTGGATAGTTTTGCCTAGATTTGTCTTTTTTTAGAGATGTAGTTTCACTGTGTTGCCCAGGCTGGTCTCGAACTTGCTTGTGATCAAGCAATCCACCCAATTCAGCCTCCCAAAGTACTGGGATTACAGGCATGTGCCACCAAGCCTGACTCATCATAGAATTATAGGAAGGTATTGGGATCTCATCTGGCCACGTGGCAAAGGAAAAACATCTGTTCAGAATCAGATGGGCTTTTTCATTCCCCATCTCTCTGTGACTGAGTCAGGAGGGTTTCTTACAGGTGGTGACATTTATCAAGATAACGTATGTTTATATCTGAACAAATGACGGCTAACTATTATTTTAATGTGTGTTATCTTGTTCTTCCTTCTCACTTCTAGGACATATATTTCTCAAATAGAGAGGTCAAAAAGACTGAGAGGTCCTTGAAAGCAGAGAATGCTTGTTACTCAAAACACTAGTATAGGGCTAACCACGCTAATCAACGTTTGTTGATTTATTTTCATTTTGAGACGAGGGCTATATGTGTCTTTAAAATCCATGAATAGATTTTCCTCTGATTTTTTTCTCTTTGTGGCAAAAATATTATAGGCACATGTAAATGATAGGCCTTTGGGACATCCTATTTAGGTCCCAAACTTGGATTTTAATTTTTGAGGGGATGTCAGTATCAGTGGCTTTCTCATAAATTAAGAATTTCACATTACATGCTGCTAGTATAGGCCAGAGTTTGGGGTTTCATGAGGGGAAAGAGTTGGCCTATTATGATAAGCTTTGGATTCAGCTGAACATTTGATTCTGTGTTCCTTCTAAATAATAATGATTCCCTGTGGAACTCTAATGCCTTGTAATATTAACAGCTGTTATGTAGAAAAAAATATTTCAAATCCATTTGTGTCTTAGAAATTCTACATTACTAAAATTAAACATATTTCTTCCTTGTAGGGCGATTCTAATCTTTAAATGGGTAATGTCCTTTTTGGATTTCAAAAGTTAAATGTCATACATAGTGTTTTCTGAGGTTATTTGATTGCAAAACCAACCCCACATTCTGCCTGCTCTCCAAGGGGCTTCTTACAGAACTAGTGCTCTGAGGGCCCTAAATTAGGGAGACTGTCAAAAAAATGGCTACACTTCCACCACTATTACTACCACCAACACCCACATCACCAATCTCTCTTAAATAGAGCTAGCCCTTCAGGCTTTTCAAAGCAATTCCATATTATCATCTCATTTCATTTTCATTGGCTATGATTAGCATTGAGCAAGTAGTATTTTATTTTATTGTATTGTATTAAAAAAAAATAGCAACCCTCCCCTCCACCGGCTGCGCACGGTGGTGGTGGCTCACACCTGTAATCCTAGCACTTCGGGAGGCTGAGGCCGGTAGATCACTTGCGGTCAGGAGTTCAAGACCAGCCTGGCCAATATGGTGAAATCCCATCTCTACTAAAAATATAAAAATTAAAAAAAAAAAGAAAAAGAAGAAATGGTTTGGGGCTGCTTTTTTTTTTTTTTTTTTTTGAGACAGAGTGTTGCTCTGTTGCTAGGTGCCTGGCTGGAGTGCAGTGGAGCGATCTCGGCTCACTGCAACCTCTGCCTCCTGGGTTCAAGCTATTCTTCTGCCTCAGGTCCCGAGTAGCTGGGAATACAGGCGTGCAGGCCAATAGTATTTCAAAACTTGGTAGCTGAGAAATGAGGCACACTATATGAGTAGTTGCTGCCTTCATATGTCAAAAAATTTAATCAGTTCCAGTAATCTGTGTAAAGAGAAGAAAGATCCATGACTGGGGAATTCTTATACAGAGTTTTTCAATTTTGTAAACATTTTTCTCCCTTTCAGCACTCTGCCCAGAGGAAGTGTTTCTAATGTGTGTAGTGATAGCTGCCTGATTTCAGATACTGTCCCATATGGATGGAGAAATACTTCAGACTCAACATTAATGTGCCAAACTCATTTATTTGCCTGTGTAAAACAGATTAATCCAATGTTAGATCATAATGGAATTAGGAGAAAAAGAGTCCTTATTGAAATCCAGCCCAAGCATCTCATTAATTCTTGTTAACTTTTTAATAGTATAGAATCAGTTCTTCTTGAGCAGTTCTTTATAAATACCCGAATTATGCCACACTTTTAAGTTGCTGGCAAAGGAGTAGGAAAACCCAATAGGGATTTCAAATCTGGTTTCACCTCCCATCTGGAGAAACTAGGTAAGCAGCACACTCGTACACGCATGCACAGTAAACAGGCTGTATTGGGTGGCAGGGAGGGCCAGCACGTATTGTAAGTTTAACCAGAGACAATCTACGTTAGCAGGACAATCAACATGGAGATGTGGGAAAACCCGTATTACAAGTGACAGTCTGAATTGATTTTTTCTGGTCCTTGTTTATCATCGTTTGTCAAGTCCCTAGTGTAAGCTTCAAGAAGCAAGAGGTTTAAGACTTGCATCGTTCTTATTAATTTTCACATTGCATTAGTAGTGGTTAAAGCTCTGGTTTCTGTTTATGCCATGGGTCTGTTTTTAGCAAATTCAACTTGTGGCAGTTGGCCCATCATTTACATGTTGGTTTAAAGCATATTGGCAGTGGAGAATGAGTGGCTTGATTTTCCAGAGATGAGAATGTAAATGTCTGAGTTACCACGGGACTGACCATGCACACACTTTGCTTGTTACCATCTCATTAAGTCAATTTCCAAAAATGAATTGCCAGACTTCTTGGTGTGCATATCTATCGTCCATATATGGGAATCATTAGGCTATGTAAATGTTGCCTTTTTATACTCACCGGGTGGAGTTATTCAGTAATATAAATATAAGTCTCAGACAAAAATCCTACACAAAGAGTTCCTTGGGTTGGGAAATAACGTGTGTTTTTAAAAAATGTGTTTGTTGCTTCCATATGAGTTTTTGTTTATGTTCTGGATTATAGCCATTGCCACCATTGTGCAAAAGCCAGAAAGAAACTTAATCGGGTGTTGTTCACAGGAGTTGACATTTATTGTAGTTTTCGGTTTTCGCTACATCTTACTGAGTCAGTGAACCCAGGGGCAGCGTATCTCCACTGCAGAGGTCTAAGGCATGCACTTTCAAAAAGATTGTTTCATCATTCTTTAAAATTATTTCAGTCTCTTTGTTAAGTCTGTCTGACAGAATTCTGAATTCTTTCTCTGTGTTACCTTGAATTTCTCTGAGTTTCTCTATCTGAAAGGTCACATTATCTGTTTCTTTAGGATTGATCCCTGGGGCCTTACTTAGTTCATTTGGTGAAGTCGTGTTTCCCTGGATGGCCTTGATGCTTGTAGATGGTTCATCTGTGTCCGGGCATTGGAGACTTAGGTGTTTATTGTCGTCTTGTCAGTCTGGATTTGTTTGTCCTTCTTGGGAAGGCTTTACAGATTTTTAGAGGAACTTGGGTGCTGTGATCTAAGCTGTACCTGCTTTAGAGGGCACCCCAAGTTCAGCAACACTGGTTCTTGCAGACTCATAAAGGTATCACCCTGATGGTCTTGGACACGATCCAGGAGAATTCTCCTGATCAGCAGGAAGAGTCTTTTGTTCTCTTCCCTTACTTGCTCCCAAACTAACAGAGTCTGTCTGTTCTGAGCCACCTAGAGCTGGGGAGTGGAGTGACACAGGCATCCCTGTGGCCACCACCACTATAACTGCCCTGGGTCACACCAGTGCTGGGCTTGCCTAAGGCCCGCTGTACCCACTTCCTACATACTGCCTGCGTTTTCTCAAGGTTCTGGGGCTCTACAATCAGCAAGTGGCAAAGTCAGCCATGCCTTTGTCCTTCACTTCAGGGTGGTGAGGGCCTTCAGGCCCCAGGCAAGTCCAG